AATGAGCAACAATATATAAGTGCAAATGACAAGTCTCGGTTAGCCTAACGCAGTACACGTAGCAAGGTGTGTGTGTGTATATATATATATATATATATATATATACACAAACAAAGAAAAACAAGTAGAATAGAAAGCTAGAGTTTTTTTTTTTTTTTTTTTTTTAAAAAAAAAAAAAAAAAAAAAAAAAAAAAAACTACAGTTAAACACAATGAAAGCAAGTGCTCAATCTACCACTAGGAACTCTTACAGTGTGTTCACACCAGACGCGAATGTAATTATTCGCACGAGTAGATTACATACAAAGTCAATGCAAAGACGCGAATAGAGGCGAATTCGCGCCAGGCGACGCGAATGACGCGAAATGCGCGACGCGTTTGCCGCGAACGCACGATATTCGCCTCAATCGCGTCTTCCGCGCAAGTTAAAAAATTTCAACTCGAGCGGAAAATTCGCATGACGCGTTCTCGCGCATGCCAATCAGCGAAGAGTTTCTTGACACGTCCAGTTGAATCAGACAATAGAAGAGAGCATTAATGCAGCGGTCTGTTATTATATAGGTCTGGAGCATAGAAAACAATTAAAATCAGTTGTAGTGGTAGTTGTATTTTATTAGCATGGCTACAGAGATGCTGCTATCAATAATAAAAACAATAGTAATATCAGTGTATATATACAGTACTACAATGTAACACACATTAATACAGGATCCTAACGTTATTCATCCTCCTCTGGATGGTGCTGTTAACCCAGACACGTCGGTGTTTGGCTTTCCATTGTATTTGGAACTTTTTGACAACAGGTACAAAACAGCGATTGTAGTTATCTCCAACATGGTTGATCGCGCGAGTGACACGAAAAAAATCCCGCGAGTAATCTAGAGCGAGTGACGCGATGCATCTGGTGTGAACACACAATAACGAAGCAATCACCTGCTTGCACACGGAGCGTGCTGGGGACTATTTTCAGGCGCTGTGTAATATCATTGCTCATCAATATCATTGTAAGATGCTAACGGTCAAATCAGATTCAACGATCTATGCTTCGTGCACTCTTTTAAATACAGTAGAGCGGGGCTCACAGGATTATTAATATTTCTCCGTTGTTAAAGTAATTGTTATTTTATTATAACCAACCATGAGTGGAAGAGGTAAAACCGGTGGTAAGGCGAGAGCGAAGGCCAAGAGTCGCTCATCCAGAGCAGTGCTGCAGTTCCCCGTCGGTTGTGTTCACAGGCTTCTCCACAAAGGTAACTACGCACAGCGCATCGGTGCCGGAGCTCCCGTTTATCTGGCGGCTGTACTCGAGTATCTTACCGCAGAGATCCTGGAGTTGGCTGGAAACGCCGCCAGAGACAACAAGACCCGCATCATTCCCCGTCACCTGCAGCTGGCGGTGCGCAATGATGAGGAGCTGAACAAACGCCTGGGCCGAGTGACCATCGCTCAGGGCGGCGTGCTGCCCAACATCCAGGCCGTGCTGCTGCTACAAACACCACCGCGGAGAGAAATAAATATAAAGATTTATGATTCTGGTGGTGGGTCTGTAAGTTCAAATTATTTTCAAGTGTTTTAACCACTTAATATTTACTAATCTAGTGAAACGAAATGCTGTTGGACACTGGTTTTTATTTATATCATATACACACGAGATGCATTTGTTATCTGTTGTATGGCCGCATTTATTCCAGTAGAAGCCACAGAGCTGATTATTAATTATGCACAGTAGGCTACTTTGAGATGTATCTGTTATTGTTTGATGTTTGGCTACATTTATTTCAATAAAAAGCAACATTACAATTTCACTTGCTGTCCCTCTGCATTCAGAATGTATCTTTAGCAAAGCAGTATACAACAAATCCAAACACAATTATGTCTCATCATCATTAGATTAGTGTTGTTCATAATCATAATCTTGTTCTAGGTGTTTAGTTGGACTTGCTGAAATCACAGACCAACGCAAACATTGTTCACCATTTATCTTGTTAGCCTAATGATGATGAGTGAACTGAAATAAGTAACAATAAAGAAGATAATTACACTCTAAAAAATGACCGTGAATTTAACGGTAAAAGACTGTAAAAATGCTACAATAAAAACCTGGTAAAATGGTTAACGGTAAATTCCCCTACTATATACGGTGAAAAACTGTATTGGACATTACATGTATTGGACATTAATTTTACGGTAGTATACAGTTTTTGGAAGTGAAAAAGACCGTATAATTTACAGTGAATAACCATAAATTGACACCCAGAATTCCCTGCATTACATTTCAAATTTGATGTTTTTTTGTTGAAATAACTATGTTTCTTCTTATTTTTTTCTTATCAGTTTTGTATATTAGGGTTGTGTGTTACACCTAATGTTGTTAAATTAATGTTTATTGCATTATTTCAGTTTCATGTGTGTTACCATGATGGTGTTTAATGTTTGTGTGAATGACACTGTGCACCTTCTATATATGTTATTATTTAAAAGCTGCTTTGTGATTGGCTTTGATTCATCATGTGACTTTCTCATCACCATCTGCATTTGGTGGTTATCAGTGTATTACAAAGGTACAAAACAGATTCCAGTACTTCAATAGGTTGGTATATTAACATTATATCAGTTAATGAAATTACGGTATTTAACTGTAAATTTAAGTTAAAACCGTAAAACCTAAAATGTTGCTACCGTATTTTTTTACATTTTACGGAATTTTTTTTACAGTGTATCACTGAAACAAACACTGCCAGGTTGGGTTAGGCTCATTTAATGAATTATATGATGCGAGAGTCTTTAAACACGACCAGCTATACGTCAAGGAAAATACTAATGTTCACGTTTATTAAAGCCACACAGATATCTGGAAATAAGATTGAATGCATCTACAGCTGAATGCCTGAAACCCAGATCTTGGCAGAATTTAACTTGTACAAGTGCTTTGGCATTTTGACTTTAAGACCACGTTTTTGGCGAGAGGAAACTAAAATCCTTTTACATATTTCATGTTTACTATTGTGCTTTATCTAGAGCTGCTTTACATCAGAACTGAATGCTGTTTGCACCTTTGAGACATTATTTTCATGTTTAACACTGTAAAGCTGATTTGACACACTCTGTGCTGAATGAATAAAGGTGACATATCAAGAACATAATGTACAGTTGTGATTTTACAATACATAATATTTCACTTATTGTAAAATATCTGTTGTCCTATGAGCAATGAATGTGCTAACAGTGACGAGTCATTTATTGTTCAGTAAGTTATAATGTTACACTAGCTGTTAATTAGAACTGAAACAGATATTAATTGGTTTCAGAGCCACCACTGCATTCGCGAGTGAATTATACTGAAAACTAGCTGCAACAACCCTTACGAAAAAAAAAAGTTTATTCAAGTGTGCTATTAGTATACTTCTTTTAAACCAAAAACAGGAAAGTATCATTTTAGTCTACTTTTTATGTACTTCTCAGAAAAATACTTAAAATTACATTTAAGCATGCTCGACTTATGCTTAGAAAAAGTCTAAATATATTTGAGCTACTGTACTTGTGCTCCTAGAATCCGTGTTTTCATTGTTATACTGTAGGGGGCGCTATTACACATCTTCTGTACAGAATATCCAAAAAAACACAAGTGAAGAAGAAACCGAAACAACAGACACTTCCACATGTAATCTCACACGATCATCAGACATAAAACAGCATCAAAACTGTGTAACGTTATGGAATAAAATGTCGACCAATGCAGAGGTAATAATGACTGTCAAGCTTTGGGGTGTTTATCGACTCCATCTACGTTTTGATCATCATTCCGAATCCAATTAAGTCTTTTTCAGCTTTTTGTTCAAAATGTTTATTTCTTTATTTTTTATTTATGAAACTTACCCAGATTCAGGTTTATAAAAAAAGAATACATGAAGCTAGAATAAAACGTTTTTGTTTACAAGCAGATACCCTGTTCTTGCTTTTGATGCTTTGTATGTTCAGATATTCATATTACAAAATATATAAATACCTAAATAGGGACATAGTAGTATACTTAAAGAAAACGTACGAGTATACTTAAGTTGCAGTATAAAACTACTAAACTAGTTTACTAAGACTATACTTCAACGTGTACTAAAAATGCTACTACAAGAATTTAATTGGTAAACTAACTACAAGTTCACTTTTAGTATAGTTACAGTACAAGCTAAAATATTGATGTAAACTAGTTGTGTACTCAAAGTTTACTACTGTTATACTTAAAAGTATACTTTTATA